TGAAAAAGAATTGAGAGGAAATGGATAGGGAAGCAGAAAAATTGAAGCGTGCTTATCCTGGGCAAGTTATTTCTGCTATAAATTATCAAGATGAAAGTGGAAATCAAATCATTCGTTTTACTCCTGAAAAAGAAGTAATATTCCCTGTTGGGGTTCCAATATATGATGAGAATGGTAATCAAATTATCGGACTAGACAATATAAGAGCAGAAATTGAAAGACGGAGGGATGAATGGGCAAGGTGGGAGAGAGAAGGCAGATTAAATGAACGAGTTGAAATTCATCACACAGACGATGGCAAAACTGTTCAAATAAAGTTTCGAACTGCTCCCAAAAGACTTCATCCGAATGAGATTAAAGGAGAAACAGAATGATTTATAAATAATGAAACTCAACGATGAGAAAGTCGACAAAGCCAGCATGGTATAGGAAATAGTCAAGAAGTGTCAGGAGAAAATTCGAAAGTTTTGGCGGATGATGGTAATAAGAACAAAAAGCCCAGAATAGAGGAAGGGGGAAATTCAGTTCCCATGGAAGTTGATGCTAGGGCGGAAAATTGTGCAGCAGAACCTATTATTAAATTGCTAACTGATGATGAAATAAAAGTGGCTAGTGAGGATGAAATAACTAGTTTGATTAGACGGTTAAATGAGGAGTTGAAAAATAGGAAAGAGAGAAAAACAACTTCGGAAAGCGGTTTTCAGTCGTATACTACCCAAGACTTAAAAGATCAATCGCAAAAATTAGAGAATGCTTTCAGTAAATTTCGAGCCTCCAATGTTACTGTTAATGATGACAATAAAAATTCCAATTTTGGTGGGATTGTAACGGCGATTGGTATGGTTGGCGTCTTAGTAATTGGTGGTGTAGCATTCGTAAAAAGTAAGTTTGGTAAGAAAAAATAAAAATTATGCCTAGAAAATGATGTATTAATTGTCAAGACGAGAGGGATAGTGGTTGTTCTTGTGTAGGAAGCAGTTGTAATCACATTTGCTCTGTTTGTAGAAAGAATACTTTGGCTTCTATTCAGCCTAACGCTGATGATACTGGATATTCATTAATTAAGCAAATGGTCGGCGAAGCCCAAAGGAAGGCAATGAGAACTGGTGAAAGAGGAGATGTAGAAGTGTCAAGAACGGTCGTTAATTCTAGTGGAGAACATTATTGCCAAATTCTAGTTTACAATACATTCACGAGGCTTTATCGCTCTAATTAAAACACAAAGTAGAGGGGGAGTTTGGCAAAGACTTCCCACTTTGCTTCTCTTATAAAAAAAATTAACATGCAAGTGCAAACAAAAGAAAAACCAACCATAATCCAATTAGATGAAAACCAATATAAGCACTTATTAATTGCTCTGGGTAATGTCATCCGTGAATTGAATTCTATTGCTTTTAAAGTAAAAGAATTAGAGGGTGCAATTAACAAATTGGAAGGTGAATTAAGGTTATTGAGAATTGAGATGAAAGAGGAAAAATAATTCTAAGCCGCAAAAACCCCCCTTTTGCGGCTAGGGATTAGTCTAATAATTGAACTCCTAAGTTGAATTATTAAAAAAAAGAGCCAAAGAAAACTTTCTAATTTTTGCCTTCAATCACCTTTCACCTCCTCTCCCATTCTCCATATCCAGGCGAATTTTTAATTAACTGACAAATCTCCCCCGTCCACTCCTCATGCTCTCTCGCCAATTCCCCATCATAATTCTCCTTATTAATCACCAAATCACTCTCACAACTA